GTTAAAATATAACAGGCAGATTTCTTCTCTTGAAATGGGAGTGCCTCTTATTTTGTCTTATTATCCTGGCTAGAACCACTGATACAATATTGAGTAGAAGGGACAGAGTAGTCATTCTTGTTTTGTTCTTAATTTTAGAGAGGAAAGTGCTGCCCTTTACCATTTAAGTTACATGTTAGCTGTGGGTTTTTCATAGATGCCTCTCATCATTTTGAGGAAGTTCCCTGGCTTTTTTGTTTTAACACAAAGGAATGTTGGATTTTGTCAAATGCTTTATCTGTGTCTACTGAAATGATAATATGTTTTGTCTTTTATTCTGTTGATATGATGCATTATATTAGTTGGTCATTAAATCAACCTTGTAGGATAAATCCCAGTTAGTCAAAGGTGCATACTCCTTTTTAATTTTGCTGGATTCCTTTTAGTAATGTTTTGTTAAGGATTTTTGCATCTATTTCATAAGGGATATTGATATTCTGTTTTTTCAATATTTTTTTTAGTTGTCAATGCACCTTTAATTTATTTATTTATATGTGGTGCTGAGAATCGAACCCAGTGCCTCACTCATGCTAGGCAAGCACTCTACCACTAAGCCACAACCCCACCCCTTCTGACTGTTTTTAAGGGGATTTCTGTAGTTTTAAAAAGTATATTACTGTTTCTACCATCTGTCAATAATTCTGTATGTGTACTATCCTAAAGATTCATTATTAAAAATATTTTGGCGGAAAAACTTAACAAAGCATTGTTTTATACAAGCTTCCCCATTTTTATCATGCAACAACATCTATTTAACATTTGTGAATACATTATCAAGAAATAATAACATTATCTTTGGTCTCAAAGATCTCAAAAATGCAAATAGTTAATACATTTCAAAAGCATAGAAGGTTACCCCAATCTCATCTACAGTAGCTTATATCAATAAATGTAAAACCCACAGATTTTGTTTTCATTGACTTAGTTCTGTTTATTTTGTGGAACAGAATAATACAGCTTTAGAAAAATCAACAACTCTGGCAAGGTCTATCAATGCTTTTGTTGCTAATGTCAATTTCTATTTGCATGATTACTTTACTGTTTTGGTTGTTACTGCTTGCTAAGCAAACTTGATTAAAGAAAACAAATTAAGCGATAACTAAGAAATAATGAGGCCTAAAGTAACTTCCTAGTTTTTATCTTTAATATAAAAACAATATATTTGGTGTTTGGATAATAGAGTTTGGTAAGTAGTTTTATTTAGGGACTGCAAGTAACTAGGTCTTTATTTATTGACTATATAATCTTTAAATGATTTCATAAATTGTAATCTCAGACTTAAAGAAGTCAATGCATCAGTTTGGCTGAGACATAGTGGTTATTTCAGGGTGGGCATTTGTCCCGAGAGATGGTCTGATTTTAAAGAAGCACAGGATTGTTTGTTGAATGGAGAAGAGAAATGAGGGCACCATCAACCCTGGTTACTGTTGGCAGCAATAATCACATGAGGACTTGTCACATCCTGGACAGCAGAACAGAGAACAAGAAAAAAACTGGGTTCTTGGTCAGTGACCATATAATTTATCATCCAAACCAGGACACTTGTAATAATCATGCTAGTACAAAAACATAAATCAGAACTGTTTGGGTATATTAGAAGCCATGGTCACTCAAGTTCTCAGTGATACCTCAGTCTCTAGTGGCATTATTCACTAACTGAATCAATATATATGAAGCATGATCCACCTCTCAATTTTTTAATTATGTGAACCAATGTTTTCTTTTAAAGCCAGTATGAGTTATATGTTCTGTTACTTACAAAAAAAAATCTGAACTAATAAATTCTCTTAACTTCTTTTCAACTTTTTCTCTGTTTTGAAGTGATTAGAATTTATAGACACGACAGGAAACAATAATCTTCCATGACATGTGTTTATAAACACTAAGCTGGCATTGATTGCGGCCCCTGATCAGAAACTAAGTTCAACTTTTACATGTGGGATTGTAAATTAGTACAAACACTATGCAAATCAGTATGGAGGTTCCTCAAAAGACTAGGTGTGAAACCATCATATGACCCAGCTATACCACTTCTTAGTATTTATCCTAAAGAATTAAAGTCATCATACTATAGTAGTATATGCATATCCAAGTTTATAGCAGCACAATTCATAATAGCCAAACTATGAACCTGCCTAGGTATCCATCAACAAATAAATGGATACAGAAATGTATATACATTCAGAAATGTATATACCACATATACATTACATGTATATATGTAATGGTATATACACACAGTGGACCATAAAGAAGAATGAAATTATGTAATTTGCATAAAAATGGATTGAACTTGAGATCATTATGTTAAGTACAATAAATCAAACTCAGCAGATCAAGTGTCACGTGTTTTTTTCTCATATGTTGAAACTAGAGAGGAAAAAGGAAAATAAAGGTATGCTTGTGTAAGGGAGGAAATCTCGTGAAAATTGAAGGGAGAACTGTAAAGGAGAGGGACCAAGGAGAGGGAAGAGGGAAGGGAAAGAGGAAATTTTAGAGAATGATATTGGCCAAATTATATTGTTATATTGTGTGCATGTATGGATATGTAACAACAAATCCTACCATTATGTACAACTGTAGTGCACCAATAAAAATATGGAAAAAAATGAAAAAAAAAGAATCCAGGTTTAGATTCTGTTTATTTATACTTGGATCTTTAAAATGAAATTAAACAACTAAGTACTGTTACAATCATATCTTAGAACTAACCAATTTGCTTGATAACAGAACAAAACAGGAGATTAAACTTAATATAATATGAACAATTTTAAATAGGAACTGAATTGGCATATTCATAACTTTTCAGTCCGCACTGCACAAAACCTGAACAATAGTGAATCAAACAATAAGAAACAGCAAAGAACTCTACCAAGACAAGAGTTTTCTGGCAATGCAATTTAGGCCTCTCCATTGCTATAGTTTTTTTTTGTTTTGTTTTTTTTAAGTTACTGGGAATTAAACTCAGGAGCACTCGACCACTGAGCCACATCCCCAGCCCCAGCAACTCACTGAGTTGCTTAGTACCCTGCTTTTGCTGAGGCCAGCTTTGAACTCAGGATGCTTCTGAGCCATTGGAATTACAGGCATGCACCACTATGCCCAGCAAAGTAATCAAATAGTTCTCATAAATGATTATAGAGCAACAGCAATTCATCTTGAAGTTCTGAAGAAATGCTATCATTTCCTGTGTGGGTCATGATGTAGGAAAACAAAAACTCATACTGCAATGTATATAGTTAGATCTATTTTTGTAAGGCAACAACTTATAAATGAGTATATGTTGAACAATGAACCTGTTCATATTAGTTACTTGGGTAGTGGTAAAAAGAGTGGTATTGGTTGGAAAGGTTTAGCATGGATTAGAGGAACACAGAGAAGTGATTGATTTTTCTTTTCTTCATTTCCATTTTAAAGATCTTGTTACACATGTATATATTTTGAGATGGTGTCTTGCTATGTTGCTCAGACTGGTCCTGAACTTCAAATCCTCCTGCCTTAGCCTCCTACATAACTAGGATTATCAGTGAGCTTGACTGTTCTCTATATAAAAGTCTTTTAAAAAATCATCATTAAAGGTTGGTGTTTTGGAGAGGGAGATACAAACTTGTGGGCCAAACTTTTGGGTGGAAAGTAAATACAGCCTTGTGGAGAGCCCTCCTAGTGGAGTGTCAACTGCTCATATGATTTCATTTCTGTGCAAAATAAAACAGTACATTCAGAACTTTCTCTCATTTCTCCCTACTCTGTAATTCCCCCCTTTGAATACTTTGAGTATTTGGGTCAAGAAAGTTACATACTCCCATATGACTTGGCCAAATGCTTTGAAGATGAAGGAAGGTGAGGGCAGGAAGGTAAATCAGGCCAACTTCCACCTCTGTACTGATTCCCTCCCATGGCCAACCAGAAGACCCAGGAAGAGACCAGAGAAAAATATTAACAGAGAGGCAATCCTGATCCTGTCATGTGACTTCAAGGGGATAAGCCAAGTTCAGCCCTCTATCAGTGTTGGAGAGAGCAGGGAGGAATGGGGCATGCCTCAGAAAAACATAAAGGTTACCCAAGACTTGTCTCGACCTTTCCCAGCCACTGCTCCAATGTAAATTTGTGCTATGCCTTAAGAGTAAAGATTTCCCTGTTCATGAAATGTTTCTAAAAATCTGTTTTTACATTTGAAGAACATTAGCATTGCTTGCTATCCACCAAGTTCACCAGCACGTTTTCTTGCATGTTTACTACTATAAGTCAGAACCTGGTTAAGTTAATCTTTGTCCTAGAATTACGAACTGTGCTTGAAATTTACTTTGGGAAATATTTCTTGTTTTAGAGAAATTTCAGTATAATGGAATGACTTCTCATAAAGGAAAACAAAATTACGACTATTCTAGTTTTTTTTTAATCAACTTTCCTTCTGGTTTTTATTTATTTTTATCTATTTTTTGGTCTTTTTTTGGAAATAGGGGTTGAACCCAGGGCTTTGGGAATGTGAGACAGACGTTTTGCCATTGAGCTACATCCCAACCCAGCCTTCCTGCTTTTAACATTTCTTGTTAGTCTTTCTTGTGCCATTTGCCAAGATAAACGAACTCGATGTCAAAAAATAAAAATTTGGGAAAATTCAGTAAAGCATAAATAGTTTTCTTAAAACGGTAATCAGGTGTTGGGAATTGTTGTAAACTGCCTTATTTTACTTTCCCCACTCCCGAAGACTGTCATCAGACCTTTTTGTAGCTAGCGCGGCCAAGAAGGACTTTGGTTCCCCTCCCTTTCATTCACAGTCGACGCCCCGCCCACCGCGACGCCGCCGGGACTCTGGCTGGCGCGGCCCCTTTAAGGAGGCAGGCGCCACGGGGCGGTCCCCGCGCTGATTGGCGGAGCTCAGAGCCACGTGGCCGTGCCGGGTGGAGTCTCCCTGGCACTGATTGGGGGCTCTGGAGGGCGGCTGGGCACTGCATCTCCCCCCGAAAAGGGAGCGAGTTGACAGATGAGCTCGCGGGGGTCCCTAATCGGGCTCACCTTTTGTACCTGCTACCTGGCTTCTTACCTAATGAACAAGGTGAGGGGGCGGCGCGGGAGGCGTGATCGAACGTGGGATTTGAGCCGGATCCCCGTCCGTGGGAGGAGTGCAGCCTCCGGCTTGTCATCTTTTTGATGAAACCCAGTCTGTGTGGGATCCTCTTCTGGAAGTAGGATTTCTTGGGATCCCAGGGTCCTCCTGTTCTGAAACATCCGGATCTCCTGGGAAACAGGATTTTTTTGACTGTCCATTTCCCGGGAACTTAATTTTGGGTTGCAAGCACTACTTTTAAGCGAAAGAAAGCAATTAGCTTCAGTTCCCTCGGGGAAGGAAAAGTTGGAGAAGAAGTCAGACGCATCCTGTTTCCCACCCCAGAGGCGTTCTTTTCCCCAGAAACCCAGAGTTCGATAAGCCTTTTAAATGGAAGAGATTAATCCATCTCCCTCTAGCCCCTCTGATCCTCAGACCTTTTTTTTTTTTCTGTAGCCCAAAGCACTTCCAGTATATTCAAAGGATTTTTGTGGGATTTTTTTATATAAAACTTACGTTTAAAATAATATCATAAATCCGTTTGATGAGGCAGAGAAGCACTGTTACCTTGTTCTGGTTTTTGTTTGGGTAGGAGGGGAAAGCTAAGTTGGGTTTGGTACCATGCAGGGAAATGCTGGACCTATGGGCACGGCTAGGGCATCTGGCCTGGACTCTGGGTGGCCTGAGCCAAAGTGCCCATGAAGGTGAGGACCGCTGTGCCTTTTGTGGCATCTCTACTGCTCTCTCCCTGCATATCCCTTACTCCAATAGCTTTGCTTTCTGGAAAAGAACCATAAAAAAACATTTCCTTATGCTTTGTCTTTTAGCTGCCTTCAATATATTCAATATAGGATAACCCTAACCCCTTTCCCTCTCCAGCTGATTTTTAGTTATGGAGCTAAGCTTTTGAAGATTCATAATGGAGCTTGGCAGGAGGTGGATGTATATCCTGATTTTTCTCTTACCTGGTTTCTTTGTAAAGCTAAGTTTTGTTGTTGTTGTTGTTGTTTTGTTTGTTTTTAGTGGTTCTGGAGATAGAGCATGGCCTTGAGCATGTTAGACAAGTGCTCAATCAACTGAGCTATACCCCCATCCCCTACCATAAGTTGTTTTGTTTTTTTTTTAATTGAGATGGGATAGAGTCCTCTGGAGAGGGTTATTGTGAGAATTATTGAAAATGATGTTTGTGCTGGGCATAATGGCACATGCTTGTAATCCTAGTGGCTTGGGAGGTCAAGGCAGGTGTATTGCAAGTTCAAAGCTAGCCTCAGCAACTTAGCAAGGTCTAAGCAACTTATTGAGATCCTGTTTCAAAAAGGGCGGGGTGGCGGGTGGGGGAGTGGCTGGGGGGTGGCTCAGGATTAAACCCCTTTAGGTTCAATCCTCAGTACCAAGAATAAAAAAAAAATGATGTTTGTTTGTAAGGTGTTTGGTCTAGTGACCACCCTCATGATAAATGCTCCATAAGACAAGTGGAAGTTACTCTTGAGGAAAAGAAAGGGAGGAAGGAAAGACTATCTTTTGTTTATGGTGTGACACTGTAATTATTAGATTTTGACAGACTTATTTGATCCTCATGGGGCAAGTAGCTAAAGTTTTTTTTTTTTTTCTTTTAGTAGTACCTCCTCAGGCATATGTGAATTTGTAGCCTCCCTGGTGGCATATGCCTATAATCCCAGAAACTGAGGCAGGTGGATTGCAAGTTCAAGGCCAGCCTCCTCAGCAACATAGCCAAACTCCTAGCAACTTAGTGAGACCCTGTCTCAAAATGAAAAATTAGGGGCCTGGGGTTGTGACTCAGTGGTAGAGTGCTTGCCTCACATGTGTGAGGCACTGGGTTCAATTCTTAGCACCACATATAAATAAATGAATAAAATAAAGGTCCATCAACAACTAAAATAAATAAATAAATAAATAAAAATAAAAAATTAGAAAGGGCTGGCAATGTGGCTCAGTGGTAAAAGTGCTTCTGAGTTCAATCCCTGTACACAAGAAAAAGGAATATGTGACCTTTTATTTGAACTCTTCTAATTTGTCTAGCTAACATGATGGATATATTGATAATATTTTACTTTAAAACAAAATGACCTTCTTTCTATTTCCCATAATTACCAGAAGGGGCAGAGTATGTCCTTCATGAAAGCCCACAGCTATAGCATTGATTGGGAGTAAGGGGGATTATTTACCTTAGCATCCCTACTCCAAGCTCAGTGGACAAATAGTTTTTAGTTCATAGAAATTAATACCCCTGAATGTACATTTGCATTTGAGGTATTATTTTTTTACTTATTGGAGTACCATACCATTTAATAATATAAGGAAGACTGAATATACCTTCCATGTGCATAAGGTATTAGGTAAAATTAAACCAAGTCTCATGTCTCCATGAATAATAATCTGAGTAATAGAAATCATAGATTCCCAAGGGCCCTCAGAATTTATTTTTTATTTTAATTTTTGGTACTGGGGAGTGAATACAAGTACACTTAACCACTGAGCCACATTCCAGCCCTTTTTTCTTTTTTCTTTAGAGATAGGGACTAAGTTATTAGGGCCTTGCTAAGTTGCTGAGGCTGGCTTTGAACTCAAGATCCTCCTGCCTCTGCTGGGATTACAGGTGTGTACCACCATACCCAGCTGGCCCTCAAAATTTAAGAATGCTCTGGCTTGGGGATGTTGGAAAGTGTCAGAGATAAGAAGGAGAAATTAGGACAATAACAATAGAAGACAAGAAAGAAGGGAAGACAGGATTTTAAGAACGGCGGAGGAGGTGTGCTCTAGAGTGAATGGCCAGGGTTGACGTTGTTCAGAACGGAACTCTGGGAAGAAACTTTATGAATCTTAGAAGCCAGATTGGACTCCCTTCCTGCTACCCAGACTGAGTGGATTGGCTTGGACCAAGTGCTATGTCCTTGTCTATCCATGATTTCATTTTCTGCAGCTTCTGTTATCCACAAACACAGTCAGAAAACGTTACTTGGAAAATCTCAGAAATAAATGGTTTATAAGTTTTAACTTTTATTACAGCATAACACTGTTATAATATTTCTATTTCATTATTAGTTATTATTGTTTATGGGTTTGGTGGCCTGGGCTGGCTGACCTTATGACATGTTCCTCTTCCGGTGGGAGGTCCCAGCAGTATCCTGGGCTCTGGAAGCCACCTGTCACAGCTATTGAGCCTTCAGCCTGAAGGCAAAGTCCACTTCTGTTTTTTCCCAGAACATCATTATAAGGAGTTGCTCTTCTGCCTAATGGCATTTTGCTCTGAGTGACATGAGGAATCACTGAAAGGAGACCTTTTTAGGACTAATATTGCATTAGTCGTAGATTTGTTTTAGCAAGGTGAGGCAAGGGCTTCAGCATTTTATTTTAGTTCTTTATTTTGCAATGGTGGGGCTCAAACCCAGGCAAGTGCACCACCTCTGAGGTATACCAGCCCTGGGCTTCAATATTTTAGATCTCTTCTAACTAAGCACACAATATTGAGTAAACATTTGATATCATAATGAAGGTCAAGGGTGTTACAGGACATGACCAGGTGCTCCCTTAAAGCTTCCCCTTTCTCCATTTTAGGAAAAAAAAAATCAGATCAAAGTAATATCAGGTCAAAGTAATATAGAATTATTGTAAATAACAAAGAATTGTAAAAGAAGACTACAACACAGACAGCCATAGTTGTGGCATTTAGGAGCTCAAAAAAGGGGAACTTGGTGGGGACTGATCCCTGGGAAAAATATATATGCAAACTTGCCCAGTCCCAACTTACTCCATGTTTTTGATCATGTGAAGAATTAGTAGACGTTAAGTGGTTTTAGGCTTTTAGAAAATTCTTAATATGTTCATAATAGAAAAAAGAATAGAAAAAGATATCCAGATGGACAAAACAATTCTTCTATTCTTCCATCATAAACTACTATAAATCTAGTTAAAATACATAATAGAAAAACAAATAGACCTGAGTGGTTTTTAAAAAATTCATTCTCTTTAATATGACTTGGAAGACCATTTGTTTGCCCAGTATAGGATTTTTTTGGGAAATAAATGTCTTTTTGAAACTTGAGTGTACTTATATTTCTTCAGTAGGAATTTCTTTGATTATTTGCTCTATCACTTCTCTATCATTTAAAATGTTGATTAATCTGGTATTTGTTTTTTCAGTATGTCCTGTCTGTCCTGAAATTTACTTACCCTACATTATTCCAAGGGTGAGTATCTTTTTTGCTATTTATACACATTTGTAAGAAAAGTTCAATCAACATCATTAAACGTTCTTTGAAGTAGTTTTAATGACTACCTAGGTTCATCATCAAGTAGACACATAGTAATTTACTTAGATACTTTATTAGTGGGCATTTAAATTGTGTCCCATTTGGGGTACCTAAAAATAACTTTGTCAGATTTTAAAAATTCAAATCTGCCAAATTTCCAACTATTTCTTGGGGCTAGATTTCTATGTAAGAAATTTGATTTCTGAAAGAACTCATGATCTTTCATGTTATTTTCATGTTATGAATTCTTTTAGTATTCTTCTTGAATATTGATTAATTATTTTCCAAAAATGCTTTACTAGTTTATCTTGCAACCAGGCCTGTGTAAATTTTATAATTTCTTAATTATTAATAAAGTTGGACAGTTTTATTTTGTTTACTATCTACATTTTTTTTCAGTGAATTGTCTACTTGTGTCTTTTTTTTAAATATATTTTTTAATTGTTGATAGACCTTTATTTTATTTATTTATACGCGGTGCTGAGAAACAAACCCAGGGCCTCACACATGCCAGGCAAGTGCGCTACTGGTTAGCCACAGCCCCAGCCCCCTGTTTTGTTTTTTTTTTAAGAATGGGTTTTACAATTTTTAAAAAATATTTATTTTTTAGTTGTAATTGGACCCAATACCTTTATTTTATTTGTTTATTTTTATGTGGTGCTGAGGATTGAACCCAGGGCCTCACACGTGCTAGGCAAGTGCACCACCACTGAGCCACAACCCCAGCCCCTATTTGTGTCTTCTACTCACTTATTTTCACTGAGGTTTGTTAATTTAATGCATTTATTGTATTTTAAGGATGCTATCACTTGTCCATCATGTTTATTGGAAATATTTTTTTTGCAATTTGTTCTGTCCTTTACTTATAAATTATTTAGATTACTTGAAAGTTTTATGTGCGCAAATATATTAATTATTTCTTTTGTGATTACTTCCATTGCTTTTGTGTTTATTCTTCCTTATCACAACATCATAGATATTCATCTATATTTCATTAAAGCTTTATCCAATTTTTAGTCATCATCAGTTTTTTAAAAATATTTTTATTAGTTGTTGATGGACCTTTATTTTATTTATTTATATGGTGCTGAGAATTGATCCCAGTGCCTCACCCATGCCAGGCAAGCGCTCTGCCACTGAGCTACAACCCCAGCCCCAGTTTTTTTTTTAAATGTATGGTACAATATGAGGAAATCATCCCTCCTCCAGTAGTAAATTATACTATCCTCATTTATTGTGTGATTCTTCTTTTTATCTTTGAGTTGTTAACATCATACAGAAAGTTGTTCTTCTAGGATCTCTTTTCAGGTACTTACTTTTCAATTTTTTATGGAAAGGACTAGTGCTGAATTATTTAAATTATTATTTAAATTATTATTACCACTTAACTACACAGTAGAGCAAGTCATCCTCATTCTGCCCTTTTAAAGATGTTCTTTGTATTATCACTAATATGTTGTTTCAGGTGAACTTTTGAATTCCTTTGTCAAATTCTTCCCTAATATTTTAAGAGCAAAGTTTTAAAATACTTGTGATTATGCATGTTTCAATCAAGAAAGCTGAGATACTGTTCTCTCTGAGTGAATAGGAAGCATTTCCTGCCCCTGATTGTCCTTTCTTGTCTCTCCTGGGAGGGAGAACTCAAGGACAATGTTTTCACCTAGATTGCTTTCCCCCCTGGTCTGACTGAGTGCACTTCCCTGACAGAATGTCAGCTCTGCAAAGCCTGGGGTTGTGTTTTACCCCTTGTCTTTGGAGTATCCCTAGTTCTGGGACATGTTTGGTGCAGAGAAGGAGCATCATAGGGCAGCTTATTCTACAGATATTTCTTGGTGAATACTCTGTGCCAGGCACTGTCCTAAACACCTGAGGTAGATTAGTGAAGAAAACAAAGATCCCTGCCTTTGTGGAACTTCTCGTCTCTCCTTTCTGTTCCTTAAATTTACCTGCAGTGAATGGTACCTTCTGTCTGTCTATCCAGCTCAGAAACCTGGGAGTTCATTTTCATTCCTTTGTTTCCTCTATCCTTAATATCTAGTTAATCACCAGGACCTCTTAAATAGCCTTAGAATCTGTCTACCTTCTTCATCCATATTGTCCCTTCCTAGGCCACTGTCATCTCTCAAATTGCTATAACATCTCCTAACTTGGTTCCTTGCCCCTAGCCTTTCTTCTCTCAAAAACATACTCTTCTCGTAAAGAGTTGGAACTTTCCCAAATATAAATATGACATTGACCTTCCCATGTTTAAAATCCTTCCTTGGGACCGAGCTTGAAGTCCTAACTCCTTGTGGCAGCCGACATGGCCCTTCAGGAGCAGCCCCTTCTCTCAAGCGTTTTCCCCTCCCCAATTGCTCAAATGCTAAGGTCCAGACCAGTTGAACTTCTCCCAGAAGCTTTGAAGGATCCATTATCTTTCTTCCCTTTGGGCTTTTGTCTCTTGTGGGTCTTCTGCTTTGAATGTGTGTCACGTTTTTGCTTAAACTTGCTGCTTCTTCTAGGAAGTCTTTCCCAGTTCACCAGACTAGATAAGTTGTCCTTGCTGGGATGGCTTGTGATACCTGGTCCTCTTCCTGTTAGGGTTTCACCACAGTTTTTTGTAATTATTGGTTAATTGCCTTCCTTCCTGCTAGCCTGACCTCAGGATGACATTCCAGAATCGACATTTTGAGTTGGGAAATTCTTTGCTGTGGGCTGCCCTGCACATTGTAGGTAGGATGTTTAGCAACATCACTGACTTCTACCTACTAAATGCTGGTAGCAAACTTACTCTCTCCCACCCCCAGCTGTGACAACTAAAAATGTATCTCCAGATACTGCCAGATGTCCTCTGAAGGAAGAAATCACCTGGTTAAGACCACTGCTTTATCCCAAACTCCTTCAGGGCATGACACATGTTCTGCTTGGCTGGGCCAGTGAAGCATCAAAAAGGAGTTGTGTAGACTGGTTGTTGTCACTGAGCAGGGGTTCATCAGTACACAAGAAAAGGACAAGAGTATCATGGGCAAATGGACAGTCCTGCAGACTCCTAGATATCCTGAGGCTGCAGGCCATTCAGTATGTTTGGAATGTGGCATCCCAGGGTCTTCAGACAGAGCTGATCCTGCAGGGAGTGGACACCAGTCCAGAGGATTTTTGTGTCACACATAAGTGATTTTGTCCTCCTGTAATCCCAGAGTGTGGAAGGATGAGGCAGGAGGATTGCAAGTTCAAAACCAGCCTCAGCAACTTAGCAAGGCTCTAAGCAACTTAGTGAGACCCTGTCTCTAAATAAAATATAAAAATATTTTTAAAGGGGGTGCTGGGTATGTGGCTCAGTGGTTAAGCATCCCTGGGTTCAATTGCTGGTACCAAGAAAACATTTTTTTTCCTCCAGCTAATTATCTCAACAAAATTAAGAAGAAATTAAACTATTTTTCCCACTTTAAGATGAGAGAACTGGGGCTGGGGTTGTGGGGTTGTGGTTGTGGTTAGGTGCCCCTCAGTTCAATACCCAGTACCAAAAAAATAGTGACTGTCATGTAGACCAACATAGCCACATCAATGTTTATAGCAGCTGAATTCATGATAGCAAAACTGTGGAACCAACCTAGATGCTCATCAATAGATAGATGGATAAAGAAACTGTGGTATATACACAATGGAATATTACTCAGCATTCAAAGAGAATAAAATTATGGCATTTGCAGGTAAATGGATGGAATTAGAGAATATTATGCTGAGCTTTAGTGGAATCATATCTTGAGGTGAGGTGTCTCAGGGCATTTATAACTAAAAACAGTTTAAAAATGTACAGATGAGGGGCTGAGGTTGTGGCTCAACGGTAGAGCGCTTGCCTTGCACTTGTGAAGCACTGGGTTTGATTCTCAGCACCACATAAAAATAAACAAAATGAAGGTATTGTGTCCATCTGCAACTAAATTTAAAAAAAAAAATGTACAGTTGAACTACCTAAAATAAAAAAGTGACTTGAGTAAGACAGAACAGTTTTGCCTATAGAATTTTTCTCACTTACCATTTTGATGTTCTTTCTACAGTAAGAGAGAGAAGGGTGTTTTTAACCTGTGCTGTCCTATACCTTTGCTGTTGAGGGCAGTGTGTTTCATATGAGCTTCATGACCTCAAGCATGCCACGGCAGCAAAACTGGGCTGAGTCAACCATTTTTAAAATGACCCAAGAGTCACAATTAAATTTCAGTTTAGAATAAATGCTTTGGCTGCAAGCTAAAGAATGCATGGTAGAGAAGGCTCTGGAGGACAGCCCTGAGGACAAGGGGACCCAGTAGGGGACTAGTGCTATGGGCCACCTGTGAGATGGTGAGATCTGAATTGAAACAGAGGTGGGGAGCCAGCTGTGAGGCATCTCATGTGAACGCTGTCATGGGGACAAATAAAATCAATGGGATTTTGCCAAGTAGATGAGGGAGGTAAGGGCTGGGATGACATCCAGGTTGGCTGTGTAGGGACAGTAAGAGGATGATTGGGGTAGGAAGGGAAAGTCCAAGGTGATGTTTTAGGCATGGTCTAACTGGGAGTTTGTGGGATTTTTAGGGTGGCAGTATCTGGGTGAGAACTGGGATTTGGGAGTCATCTGTACTGAGGCAGTGGCAATGGGTGAGATAGTTCAGGAAAAAATTAGAATAAGAAGAGAAAAAGCATGCATGCAATACTTATGTACAGTTGCACCCAAGGGCATAGCAGAGATGGAGAGCGAAAGGTCTGAGTGATGGAGAGTGGCTGGGAGAGTGGGAGAAGAGTTATAAGAGGAGTTGAATTGTGTCTCTCTGTGTCTGTCAACAGATCTGCCAGGGTTGGATTGTTCGAGGCCAGAGCCTGTATTAATTCACATCTGCACTTATCCTTTGCAGGTGGCAGACATTCATTGGTGGACTTCTGCTCCATGTATCATGGAAACTGGGCTGGGTGGAGATCAACAGCAGTTTAAGGTATAATGTCCTCTCTGTACTTGATTCATGATTCATACACTGCTTACTTTAAGTATGATTTAATTTCTGATAATGTCATACCAGGAAACACAAATGTGTGTTTGAGTTGTTTGGTCTCTTAGTTCCCTTCTAACCTAACTCAGTGATTTTATAATCAGATAAAACTCAAATAGTGTTTTCCTGGTTACTAATGCCACCAGTATTGAAATTAATAGAGAATTGCAAGTTCTAATGCCATTTTAATTTGGTTTTGTTTTAGATTATAGGCTCACTTCAAATAACTTATTATATCAGCACTTTTTTTAGTAATAAAAAAATTTTAGTTGTAGATGTACACAATACCTTTATTTTGTTTATTTAGTGCTATGGGCCACCTGTGAGATGGTGAGATCTGAATTGAAACAGAGGCAGGGAGCTAGCTGTGAGGCATCTCATATGAATGCTGTCATGGGGACAAATAAAATCAATAGGATTTTGCTAAGTAGATGAGGGAGGTTTTTTTTTTTTTTTTTAATGTAGTGCTGGAGGTCGAACCCAAGGCCTCACGTGTACTAGGCAAGTGCTCTACCAGCCCATGATAAATTTTTGCTGTGTAATTATTTCCTACTTTACAGAAAAGTTAGTATAGTCCAAATAACTACCATATCCGTTAGTAATATTCCCTAATTGAATTATTTTGCTGTTCTTTAATATTTTCTTGTGATGCATATATATGCACACACGTCTGTATGCAAATATATTTATACAAATATATATACACATATATATTTCTGAACTATTTGAGAGTAAGTTACTGATTTGAAAGAAAGATGTGTCTCTTGTTTTTTTACTTCAAATTCTTTAGTGTGTATGTTCTAAGAGTAAGGACAGCCACTTATATGACTAGAGTATAATTGTCAAAATCAGGATATTAACATTGGTGCAACACTCTTATCTATATACCATATTTTGTCAGTCTCAGTAATATCTTTTATAGTTTTCCTTGCCAAAACTCTGGTCCAGGGTCCAGTCCAGACTAGATATTACATTAGTTGTTATGATTCTATTAAAACAGACTTTAAAACACATTTAAAAGAAATCTCCAAGGCCATGACATTTTTCAGATATAAATATAATTTAGGGTATCTGGTCCTACCTTACCTAAATAAGTCCTCCTGATTCTTTGGGAATATCCTGCCTAACCTGAAATGATGTACAAAATGAAAAAAAAAAAATCAAGTCAAGGTGTGTGTGTGTGTATTATTTATATATATATTATATTATTTATATATTATATATATTATTTATGTATATATGTTACATATATATTATATATATAATCTCCATCCCAACTGAATGATCAGGCCACGTCATTCATTTTTGTAGTCCAAATTATTCTGCTTTACTTCTCCATTAACCAGGTGAACTGCATACTTGCTAAGCTACCCTTTTGTTCGTCACTTTGAAGGTTTGAGAATATGTCAAGTGTAATAGTAATTATTTTGACTTCTCCTGAAGTCAAAGTAATTTGTTATTTTTGTTCTCTAGCTTTATAGTCTCTTGAGACTATAAAGCTAGAGAACAAAAAACTTAATTAAGAGGTTTAATGAAAGGGCTGGGGATATAGCTCATTTGGTAGAATGCTTGCCTCACATGCACAAAGCCCTGGTTCAACCCCCAGCACCATACACACAAAAAAGTGGTTTAATGGAGAAGAAGCCCTGGGAAGATAGGTGTACATTAACTTACCTGACCCTATTAAATCATAGTCCATATTTTGAAAATATATTATATATAAGATATAAATATATGTAAGTCATAATTTTGCATTTTCATAGTATGGCATCCTTAGCTTGTTGAAATAAAGATACTTTTGGGGTTTTGTATATTATATTATACACAAGACTTACTTAATAACTCTATGGTTATGGTGGATAGTTCAGTGAGAACTGGCCTTCACTTAAACAAATAGGAATCCTGAATTTGTAAGGTCTGTGATAGTTGTAAAATTTAGTTAAATGATGAAGCATACTGGTTCCAAAAAGTTTAATTTTTTCCTCCACAGGAGTAGAAGGTTGTACTACAATTAGGGAATTGGAGATCAAAATTTTAGACTGTGGGGGATGGTCACTGGTTTTAGTCCACATGGGTCTTCTAATTTCTGATTTGAGTGACTTACTTTTACTTTTAATAATAATATTTTTAAAATTACTCACATTTCCTGAAAAGTAATGATATTTTTCGTATTTAAATTTTTTTCACTTACTGTGTTAAATATACATAACATTCATTTATCATTTTTTTTGTACCAGGGATTGAATAGCAATAAAAGAGAATAAAATCATGGCATTTGCAGGTAAATGAATGGAGTTAGAGAAGATAAGTGAAGTTAGCCCATCCCCCAAAAGCAAATGCCAAATGTTTTCTCTGATATAGGAGACTGATTCATAGTGTACCCCATGGGAAGAATAGATGAATTCTAGATAAGGAAGAGAGGAGGGAGGGATAGGGAGGAGGCAGGGGGTTAGCAAGGATGGTGGAATGTGATGGACATCATTATCCAAAACACATGTATGAAGACATGAATTGGGTGTCAACCTACTTTATATACAAACATAGATATGAAAAATTGTGGTAAATATGTGTAATAAGAATTATAATGCAAAAAAACCAAAGTACATATATAAAGATATGAATTGGCATGAACATACTTTATATACAAAGATATGAAAAATTGTGCTCTATCTGTGTAATAAGAATTGTAGTGCATTCCACTGTTGTGTATTTAAAAAAATAAAATCAATTAAAAAAAAAGAAAGGGGTGTTATCAGATGGCCAGCAGAAAGAGATAGCAATAGGTTCCCTCATGGTGTCCAGCTGGGTTCATGTTTGCAGTGGCCGCTGTTTCCTTCCGGGCTGGCTTTTCTGATTAGGTCATTGAGGAACTGGAGCCCCGCTTTACTGGGTAGCTGTGTACTTGTGCAGATATAGCAGAAGGTTGGCTCTACTAAAAATGGAAACCACAACAGAGTCCCGGAGGTCATTGTGGAGCAGGGATTATAGTGATGGGGCTGGAGGGTAGGTCCCAAATTGGTAACTGAATAGCATATGCTACAGACAATGCAGTTAGACTGCCCTTATAAACTGGAGAACAGAGAGACCCAGATTCCCTCTTGAATGAGCCTCAAAACCTGACAACACATTTTTTTTGTAAGTATAGGGATTGCATTTTATGACATACATGAAGCTCAGTACCTGGCATCAAATAAATAGGGATGTGAAGATGAAATGAGAAACGGTCTGCAAGGACCTGACACTTATCACAGTGCTTAGCAAGCATCAAGTACTGTAAAATGGTTTTCATCAGTGTGTCTGTATCAGTTGTCACTTCATATCAATCGCCCAAAGACTCAGTGATTTTATTAGTCTTTATTATTTTTACAGTGATTTTAACCCTGTAAACATTTTTATATTTAATTATTATTATTATTATTATTATTTGTCTTTCCACATTTTTTATTGGTATATTATACAGGGATTGGATTTGTTGTTACATATTTGTACATACACACGATATAACAATATAAATGTTTGAGCTGAGGCTTAAATATGGCCCATGAGTCTACAGTTCAACTGTGGGCTGGGAGTTCTGATTCACGATGGCTTTGGTTTCAATGGTTTGTCTCTGCCCTACCATATTTCTTATGTTGCCAAGAGGCCATGTCCAGCCGTCTTCGCCGCACCAGGTACTGGTTCCTTAGAGGGATCTTATGGAGTTATTGTCTTCCCAGGATGTCTGCCTGGGGACCAGTTATAACCATCAGGTCTTGGATGATGCCCATGAACCTTCTATCTTAGAACAGATAGCATTGCTTTATAACCACACACTTGCCATTATATGGAAGCTACTGCTATTGCCAAGCCATGGCAAAACACTGAAGTGATTTTTCCAGCTGATGATGAAGTCCTTTGCTGTAGGCTTCCTTTATTTCCAAAATGCAATCCTAAAAGAACCTTGTGACCTGTGTCATCTGACTGGACATCTGGTAGCACCTTGAGATCATGATGTTTTTGGATTCTTAAGTCATTGCTGAGGATGGCTCCAGGTGCGATTTCACTGCAGACCGCAGGCACCATCTTAGAGTTAACGTAAGTTGTCTACATGTTTAAATAAAAACACTTGAAATAATTTTTAACATACTTGCCATTTTTTGTCCATCTCAAGTAAGAGCAAATTTTTTGGATTCTCTTGTGTTCTTTCTTTCCTTTTAAGTCCTGGGGACTGAATCCAGGGCTTTGTACATGCAAGGCAAATGCTCTACTGCTGAACTGCATTACCGGCCATTTTATTTTTATTATTTTTTTTATTTTAGAGTTTCACTCAATTGCCCAATCTGGACTCAGACTTTAGATCCTGCTGCCTCAGCATCCCAAGAAGCTGGGACTTCACTATGGCTGGCTCAAGTTTTCTTTTAATTTGAAAAGTTCTAAGTTGAAAATAATATGCTACATTAACTTTTTTTTTTATTTTTTAGTTGTAGTTGAATACAATACCTTTGTTTTATTTATTTATTTTTATGTGGTGCTGAAGATCGAACTCAGGGCCTTGCACATGCTAGGCAAGTACTCTATTGCTGAGCCACAACCCCAGTCCCATATATTACCTTTTGATCAGAGATTTCTAAGATGAAATAGAATTCACCACCCATTTATTTTTCTATGCAGAATCCTTGTTGGAGAGCCACAACAAATATCCCTGCTACTCCAGAGGCTGAGGTAGGAGAGTTACAAGTTTGAGGCTTGCTTGGGCAATTTAGGCAGTCCCTGTCTCAAAATAAAAACAAAAGATCTTGGGGTGTAGTTCAGTGGTAGAGTACTTGCCTAGCATGTGTGAGGCTCTGGGTTCAATACCTAATACTATAAAATAACAGATATCTTTAATAAAACCTCCAAATTAACTCAGTACAATTTGTAAAGAAATTAGTAGTTAACCAATCAATTATGGTCCCGATGGTATTTTT